GTTTATTTCACCGAAGCTCATTTTACAGACAAAGTAATTCTGGTCAATATCATTAGAGTTAGGTTAGAACTAGAGTTGAAGTTAGTGTAATTTATGAAAAAAAACTTGTCGGTGAAATGAGCTTCGGTGAAATAGACTGTCGGTAAAATGAATTTCTCGATGAATAATTGTCTGTGAAATGTGGTGTCTATGAAGTGATTGTCGGTGAAACAATACGGACCCATTTATTATTCGTGTTGGTTTGCCCGTGAGTATAAAGACCATTTATTAATGATCAGTGAAATTAAAATCATAATACATACTTATTTATCGCTATATAATACCCTTCAAATCGTTTCATCCGCGTTTTAATTAGTGAGAACAAAGATCATTTATGAATCTTTGAAATTGAAATCAGCAAACAGATCCACAAATTATGTATTAATTTAGTTTGAGTATAGAGATTATTTGGGCTGCCATCAATAGAAATAAGGCAGATTGACATTTTAAAAAAAATCAATACCTTAACTTTCACAGCTCGTATCCTAATGTTTGTCATGATAATTTAATAGTCAAAAGAAAGCTTACAATCTAAGCTTTCATTTGAGTATGAAGTCATCAAAAACACATTAAGATATGAGTTGTGAATGTTAAGGTATTGATTTTTTTTAAAATGTCAATCTGCCTTATTTCTATTGACGGCAGCCCATTTATTGATCTTTGGAATTAAATTTAGCAAAATAAGTTCACAAATTAAAATAGAATATTTATTTACCATTACGTGATATCCTTCAAATCTTTCCGTTCACATTAATCATTTCATAAATTTCATAATTATTGGAATTAAAATCAGCCATCTTTTTAATCATTTCATTCACATTAATTTAGCGAATAAGTATAAATATCATTTATTACTCATTAAAATTACAAACAGATAACAGGTTCACAAATCAAAACATAAATACTTATTTACCATTATACCCTTCAAATCATTTCACTTTCATTAATAATTTCAACTTATAAATCAAATACTGATGATTATTTCAAGGTATTTCAGTATACTAAGGACGGAAATAAATATATATAAGTTTTTGCGATCAAATTTCACTGAACTTAATTCTTTAGGGTGAATGTACTTCTTATGTCTCAGATTTAAGAAAAGTGAAAAATAGTGAAAATAATGCAAAGACGATATTTATGGAGTTATGCTTTATGTTGCTTGGAAGTTTTGTCATTGTCACAGGCTAAATGGAAGATCGACGAATCGGCGCAGCAAACTCTTGACATTAACCATAGCTGCCGCAACAAATTTGGACCGGCAGATTCTCGATTTTGATTGGCTAAGAGCAACTATCAAAAGATTAGGCCGGAATTACTCGGAATTTTACTAATGAAATCATAGCCGCCCATTAAGTGAAAATTGTTCCTGGGCCAATTTTACCATAATGCGGGCTTAGTTTTTAAGAATTTCTGTTTTTGTAATGAAAAAATTAAAAAGTTAATTCCGGCCGGAATTTAGTAACCAATTTTGTAATGTGGGCCAAAATTTCGAAGATCCTCGGCCGTTAGCCAATCAAAATCGAGGATCTGCCGGTCCAAATTTGTTGCGGCAGCTATGGTTGTAACGCACTAATCAAACTTCGCCGTATTCAAAAATTTTTTTTCATAGAACTGTAAATATTCAAAAATTCGCAAAACTTCATAAGTCCATAATGTAAAATATCCGCTAGTTATCAAATTATGTTTTACTGTATTAGGCACTTACGTACGATGTATTTTATTTTATTATTGTTCAAAAAAATTACGCTTTACCACAAGGGTGCAAAGCATAATTTATTTCAAGTCGTCCATAATAATATTACTCAAATTACCCATTACTTTTAATAAATTAATTTCATTGTTTGATAGAAACTGAATAATTAGACGAAATATTATGGCCTGATTATTGTAGCGAATATGAAATTGGAGTTTAAAAGGATGAATATAAGGCATCCCTTGATTACTGCAAATATGAATAATGTATCAAGTTGGTCATTGCCATTATTTAGAATTTGAGTTTTGAATTGATAAGTATAAAGCATTCATATAATTTGAAGTCAACCAAGGCAGGAAATTCTAAGGGAGTTTTTTAAACTAGCTATTTGTCACAGACATGAGATTCAACTATTTGATTAAAGTAAGCTGCTGTATCTATTTATTTGATCATTATATTTGGATACTTAGAATTTTAAAAAATAATATATACCGTAAAACTTCGAAAATAAGCACCATTTTTTTAATTAATGGAGGTGCTTATTTGAAAACAGATAACATGATCAATCTCGTGATCACGGATAACGTAATTCTAAGTTTATTTGAAGGTGCTTATTTATGGAACATAAATTTTTATTATGAAGGTGCTTATTTTCCGGGTTTTACGGTATGTTGTTTAATTTTTAATTAATATTTTCACGTTAGTCCACACTATGTTAATTATCTGTTTAATATATCTCATACGAGGGGTGGGCATAAAAAAACAAAAAATAGAGTACTGTAATTCTATTGGCTAAAATAATATATATATATATATAGTATATTTATATATATAAAGCCAATACTGCAATTTTATTAGTTAATATAGTGTTGTTAATTCATTAAAATTTTTAAAAAAATGTTAAACAAAGAATTAAATTGGCGTGGCCTTAATGAATATTTACATCTAATTCACCATTTTGTTCGTGTTAAATTTAGTGAGTATAAAGAAAATCTTTAACCGAATCATTTAAATTAAGAATACAAGTTCATATTTGCCACTTAATTTCATCTGATTCTGGTTTAGAGCATTAATTAATTGATGTATTTAATAAACTATTCAAGGTCATGAATTTTTACTGTTGTTTCTCATTCTGCCGATGGACATTTTATCGACAGGCCATTTACCTGGCATACCATAGAGTTAGGATTGGCATTTATTATTTTTAGTGTCAAGAAAATGGCCTATCGGGAAAATGAACATCGGAAAAATTGTATGCAACCAATATTTACTACTTAATATATTTTTTATTCACGTTGAGTATAAAGAACATTTCTTAGTATAGGCATTTAAAATATGTATTTATTCTTTAATTCCACTATACTCGCGTTAATTTAGTGCGTGAGTATAAAGAAAATTTACTAATATAAGTTTTAATATAAGTATTAAAAATTATGAATCTTTACTGTTTAATTTCATTTTATCCACATTAGTACGTGAGTATAAATAATAAACTAAGCAATTAAAGTTATATTTTATTTGAGTAATTTAGCTAGATTTAAAATAAGCTATTCAAGTTCATGAATATTTACTGTATATATATACGTATTTAACTTTATTCACCTTAATTTAGGAAATGAGCATAAATGACATTATTAATCTTAATTGGTGCTCTGGGCTCGTACGTGCTAACCTTAATCTAACACGAAATTCATGTCTGATCGGGTGAAAACTTTCGAGTTACAGCTATTGTCATAAATCCTGGAACAACTGAAAAATTGCAGATGCGTGTAATCGAATCAATAAGTTATCGAGCCGGAATCAGTAAGCTACTGATTTCGGCCGACATCAGGAACTTATCACGTTAGTCACTGGATTTATGACATGTAACAGCGATAGCTGTAAAGCTTCAGCCCTATCCATGGGTGTTTAAATTATGGATGATCTATGGAATAGCGAATGTTTTTAATATTTCTTCAAGGTTCTTCGAAACGCCATGTGTGGCGAAAATTTTTTGTCTGTCGAAATTACGAAATTAATATAGCTATAACCGATATTATTATAGAGAATTGATACTATTACATATCGGCTATGGAGTATACGTTATTATATTATACGTAGCTGCTATTATTACATACTAAAAAATCGAGAATGCACTCTAAAAAAAAGATAAAATTTTACAAAGCTAATCCCGAAAGTTCCTAATGTCAACAGTAAGCGAACGTAAATTACAAGTCAAGTATTTATATTTAGTATTACAAACTGTATTAGAGCATTGAAAACATTTTTTTTTTTAGTAAAAATAATATGACAAGTTCTACATCTTAAAATAATTTAGTAATTTAAAATCTTTTCGACACCATAAAATATTTCGATATTCTATAACCTAAGTTGAAAACTCAAAAGTAAAAAAGTAAAATTTTTTATTATGTAAGAATAATGAAGTCTTACTACGATTGTGAATTGTTATTTGTATAATAATTCTAATTCCATTTCGATAATAATATCTAATGCAATACCTATCTCAATAGATTTGTTAAAATAAATGAATGTTTTTTTTTTTTTTAATTTCAATTCCTTTACTATAACAATAATCAACTGTATCGTTCCCATAGCTCGGTCATAAACAATTAACTAATGCATACTTCTCCAACATCACATATTAGCAGATTTGAAATGTGGGTGTCTGGTTAAGACATAATGCAGGTGGTATAGTGATCATTAATCATAACTAGTCAAATTCCATCGAATCATATAACGGTTCAGAATCCGTAGGTTTTTTCCATCGTACAGTATAATATATAGAAATATGTGAAATTTATCAGTGTATTTTTTTATTTATCAATGTGTTTCGTCGACTTTGTTCAAAAAATTCCTCGTTATTTTATAAAACCTTTAAAAATTGCTCTTATAGAACACTGGCAGTATACTCTGACAAGATTGTTTTCAACTTTTGTCAACACGTAAAAAAATACTATATATAACAATTATAATTACACATTCCTTAGCTCAACTGCATCGCACAAACTTCAAGATCGTACATCTTTGAATCTATTATATGTATACAAGAATTATTTAAAAAATAAATCAATAATTGTCACGGCTGATGCTGAAAATTGAGGTCTTGATTTGAAAATATAAGCCCTGCTAAATCCACATATACCCCTTAATTATTAATTCTAACTCCAACTCTAAAAAAAAAAAAAAAACGGAAAAGAGCACTCCAAAATTTTTAAATTTTCATATAAAATTAGGTCCAAATTTAACATCAGCCGCGACAATAATTATATACTTTTCACAAAAATTAAATTTCTAGAATTACCTCTAAATTTAGCTGATTCATACGCGAGCTTAATCTCTTTAGTGTTTGTTAATCTGCTAGTATACATTGAACTTTGGTAATTCGGTAAGGTTTGTAATACTTTGATTTCGTCATTAGCAGAAATAAAATCCTTTACAATATAAGATTCTTCATGAGGCATTGAGGGATTCATCATAATCATACGCCATTTTGAAAGTTTTGAGTAAATATCTTTAGCACTAGGTCGGTTATTTGGTTTGGAATCCATGCATTGCTTAGCTAATTCAATATAGCATTCGGGTGTTCTTTCAGAAAATCCAGGTCGTAATCCGTTGCAAATGCCCAATGCAAGTCCAGAGTCGAATGGAGAACCATAAAAAGGTCTTTTTCCAGTTGACAATTCTGTCATAATAATACCTAGACTATATATATCAGCTGCTTGTGTATATGGTTCACCTAATAAAATTTCTGGTGCAATATATGGCATAACTCCATAAACGTCACCTTTTGAAGCTGATTCTTTCAGATCCTTAGATAATCCTAGATCAGTTATAAAAGACCTTAGGAAAAAATTGTATTGATTTAGCAAAACATTTCCACTGTGAAAATCGCAATGGATATATCCTGATTTATGAATCCTAGTTAAGTCATTTGCCATGTCTATAAGGAACGTCAATTTGCTTTCCCAATCGAGTATTTTAAAATTTGATATTGAAAATTCATACAGATTTCCTTTATCGGCATATTGAAATACCATAAGATATGTTTGAGTTACTGTATCTTGAGTCATTCCATATATTTCAAGTCCAATACCATTTAATCTACATTGAACGTGGCTTTCAAACTTATTTAATTGGGCATATAATTATAATTGTTAGTATAATTGTATATATGCAATATATGCGCTTTGTAGTGATATTATATGAGAATCTTGATTTATAGATTTCGATAATGAGGATAAATATACCAATTTTAAAATTAGGTATCATCACATGCGAAAACGTCTTTTGCAAAGCGCTATAATAAAATTTTAAACTTACTTCTTTTAAAGTGTTAAGAGTTTTGAGCGCAACTTTGCATGATTGTTCACGTGCTTGTAAATTATTTTTAATTATTGGCTTTCCGTCTAACCAGCTTGCAGAAAACACTGTACCAAATCCACCCTTGCCAATAATTTGAAGATCAACTAGTCTTTCAAATGGAATCCATTCAATCAAATTCTCATATTTGGTAGTTTGGATCTGAAATTGTTTTATAAAGTCATCGATTCCTTTATTTCCACTCGTCCATCCTCGAATTATTATCTGCGGATCACATAATTGGCACCAAGCTTTTGAAGTATTATATCGTCCACAACTTGCACATTTATCTAAATACATTCTCATCATGCGATAAGTTTCTCCACGAATTCTTAATGCTTTTGCATTATTTGGTTCAATTTCTAATGATTTATTTAAATCTTTGATTCTTCATATCTCTTCATCATGTGATGAGTTATTCCACGATTTCTTAATGCTTCTGCAATATTTTTTCGATTTCTTAGTGCCTCTGCATTATTCGGTTCAATTTCTAACAATTTATTTAAATCTGCAAGTGATTCTTCATATATACTCATCATTAAAAAAGTTTCTCCACGAATTCTTAATGCTTCTGCATTATTTGGTTCAATTTCTAATGATTTATTTAAATCTTTAAGTGATTCTCCATATCTCATCACCATGTAATGAGTTTCTCCACGATTTCTTAATGCTCTTGCAATATTTTTTCGACTTCTTAGTGCTTCTGCATTATTTAGTTCAATTTCTAACGATTTATTTAAATCTGCAAGTTATTCTTCATATCTACTCATCATGCGATAAGTTTCTCCACGAATTCTTAATGCTTCTGCATTATTTGGTTCAATTTCTAATGATTTATTTAAATCTGCAAGTGATTCTTCATATCTACTCATCATGAAAAGAGTTTTTCCACGAATCCTTAATGCTTCTGCATTATTTGGTTCGATTTCTACTAATTTATTTAAATTTTCAAATATTTTTTCAGAAAATCGAAAAGCAATTACGTTATCTGGTGCAATTTCTAACAATTTATTTAAATCTGCAAGTGATTCTTCATATCTACTCATCATGAAATAAATTTCTCCACGAATTCTTAATACTTCTGCATTATTTGGTTCAATTTCTAATGATTTATTTAAATCTGCAAGTGATTCTTCATATCTACTCATCATGCGATAAGTTTCTCCACGATTTCTTAATGCTTCTGCATTATTTGGTTCAATTTCTAATGATTTTTTTAAATCTGCAAGTGATTCTTCATATCTCCTCATCATGAAAAAAGTTTTTCCACGAATTCTTAATGCTTCTGCATTGTTTGGTTCAATTTCTAACGACTTATTTAAATATGCAAGTGATTCTTCATATCCACTCATCATGAGGTAAATTTCTCCACGATTTCTTAATTCTTCTGCATTCATCGGGAGAATTAAATAAGTGCAAATCTGCAAAAACCTGCAAAAATGCAGATTTTTGCAGAATTTTTTGCAAAAAAACTGCAAAATTTCTTATATTTCGAAATTTTGCGCAGAAATGTATTTAATTTCTTTAGCTATAGCTGGTGAGTCTGAAGTTTTGCACAGATTTTAATATATTATTAATTTTTTTGCAAATCTGCACAGAACAGCACTAAAAATTTTTTTTCGATGTTATTTGGTTCAATTTCTAATACCTCTTTATAACCATACATCTATAAATACAATTATTGGATTAACTCTAACATTTTATAAATTTGCAAAAGATTTTTCATAATTCAACCCTATCCATAGTCACTTATTTGTACAGAGATTTATCAAAAATCCTCATATCGTAAGTCTTGCTGACAAAAAAAAAACATGCCGTTCATAATTCTGCAACTAAAATCCTAACAGTTTTTTTAGCTTCCGAGTATTGGATAGGAGAATGTACTATTTTAAATCCTGAAAGTTCATGATCCCACAAGATTATGATTTAGGTAAAGTTAGGCGGATTTGATAGTTATGATTAAGTTTCCAGAATTATGACTTTCGTGACTATGTGGCTATCAAAATTTCGACATTTGAATTTTTTGTCTAGCGCAAGGCATTTATTTGCAAGAAACTGTAATTGATTAATGATTTTTCACAAGTTTGAAAATTGAAAAATATCGATTACATATAACGAAAATCGTATACAACTAGTTGTTCTAGCCGTTTAGACAGCATGATAGTATCGGGAACTTTGGATGAAAGAGTAAAAGTTTATAATACAACGTAATAATTATAAGCGGTGTTACAAAAGTAAAAGTAGCTAGAATGGATGGGACCGAGTTCAAAATTCATTAATCAATTTACAGGTATTCTCTTCCCATCATCATTTAGAGTTGACATTGTGTTCTTGTCACGAAGATTACTTTACCTGATGATGTTTTACCCATTCACAATACGTACAACGTTAAGGAGAAGACTAAAGTTTATTGTACATATTAAATATATACAGTTTTAATATTTCCTATTTCGACCTATTTTATGCACGTCACTATGCAAAGTTACAACCATTGTCCAATGTACGTACTGTACATACGTACTATGTAAATCAAATCTATATCAGATATCAATATGTAGTCTCATAGGCAGACATTCGTATGATTGGCAGTTTAAATCAATTTAATTTTACATTATTTATACAGTTTAACTAGTTATGCGCTTGCTTATGCGCTGGGAGTTTCTCTAGCGTTAACACTAATTTTTGTGATATTTATTATTTAGTTAATTATTTAGGGGAAAGTAGCGATAATAAATTTACAACATTTAAATACAAATAGTAAATATTCTGATTTTTTATTGTCATAAAAATAAGTTATAAAATCGTTGAGGTTTGAAATCTTTAATTAATTTGTTTTGATTCGTTCGTATATACGTATATACGTACATACGTACATACGTAATTTTCACATTTTTGTAATTTCTATTAGACCTTCACATAGTTTTTGTAGCATTTGAAAGTGTGTTTTGTTTGATCAGTCTTAAACATTTCGTTGCTTGATTTAATGACATTGTATTAGTTTTTCATATAATTAGTTTGTTTTTCGTTTGTTTGGTGGTTTTATTCTTATTGAATCATGGTGTTAATTTGTTTCTATTTTAAGTGAAATAATAGTCTTCATTCGTATCTTAATACAATAGAAGTTCTATGCAGCTGAGGATTAACGTATCTTTGCGTACAGTATTGTATGTCATTAGCAGTATGCTCACGGTGAGGAGGTTTTGTAGCAATAATTTTGGAGGGATAAAAGTGGATAGTTTATTAAGTAAGGGAATTAATAGCGAGTGAGAAATGTTTTTAATTAAATTATTATTTGATTTGTTTAAAACAGTTGAAAGAAATATGAAATGATCTAAAAGGATAGCGACTGGTGTGTACCAGTCTGTGATGTAATATGAGATGAGTAAAGTAAATGCTATAAGTGAAATTCGAATGGCGGGTAGATATATTAATAAGTCATTTTTTAATTTATGGCCTGAATTGGTGGAATAGCGAATTAGTTGAAAATTTAAAGCTACGCAGCTGAAAAAAATAAATAAGAAAACTTTGTGTAAAAGTTTTAATAATCGAAATACAGTGGCGATCATAAGTAATGAAGCAAAAAAAAAATTTTGCTTAGATCACGTTATTTCAAGCAATTCTAAACGTATCCTTTTTTTTTTTTTTAATTTATTCGTGAATACTATAGATTTCATGTATTAAAAATTTAAAAAAAATAAATGAACCTAAATTTTCGTTAACCCAAATTTTATTTCATTTGACGTGTTGCATTACTTTTGATCATATGTAATGCAACACAATAATAAAACATAAAAAAAAAATTTTTACATATAAAAAAAAAATTTTTTTTTTCTATTCTAATCCTTCTGGCCTCTACCACCTGGTGTATCCACCGTGTGCCTTGATAACATCACGAACACATTTGGGCATGGATCGAATCAGGTTGGTGCAGGTCTCAACGTCGATTTGTTTCCAAACCACCTGGATCTTATTCCACAGGTCTTCTTTACCTGAAATTTGTCCAGGGAGGTTTCTAAGTCATCAGTCAACCTCATTCCACAAATGTTCGATGGGGTTGAGATCAGGGGACTGGGGGGCCAATCCAACACCCTAATCCGATTAT